ATTAAGGAGATCTACCGGGTGCAGTCCCGTAGTTTCAATGTAAATGTGCAGGGGAATCTCCCGGAATACCACATCTGAAGTCCCAAATAAACAGGCATGGGGGATCTCCCGGGATATCGCCCGTAGTCCCAAAGTAAACGCACAGCAGCAACACGAAGAATATCCAATTCAATCAAATTTATACCAAGGTAAAACAGGTATTTCTAGCCTATCATGCTGCACAGAATTCAAATAAGCAGTTTTAGCAAGTAAAGCAATTGAATCAGTTAGACATGCTTTCCTAAGCTAACAGTAGGCTTAAATTTCAAGTAATGTAAACAGGGAAGAAATACACAGTAATAGTTACTAAGTGAAAACCGGATTTTTCAACAATTAGCACATGTACGCACTCGTCACCTCACGTACAAGGCATTTCATATATCAACAATACCAAATCCTAAGGGGAGTTCCCCTACACAAGGTTAGGCAAGCCACTTACCTCGAACCAGCTCAATCAACTCAATACCACGTTCTTGCCATGAGTATCCGACTCCAAATGGCCCAAATCTATTCAAAGTAATTGCATAATGTAAATATAACTTCAAGTAACTAATTCAACTAATTAATTCGAAGCTAATATGCGAAATTAGGAAAAATCGCCCAAAAAGCCTCCCGGGCCCACATCTCGGAATCGGGTAAAATTTACAAATTCGGAATCCTCACACTATCACGAGTTCATATATACAAAAATTACTCCAATCCGATATCAAAATCTTGATCAAACTCCAAAATTAGGCCTAAGAACTTTTTCCAAATTTTCACCCTAAACTCGAATTTAAGCATGGATTCGTGGAAATTAATCAAAATCGGGTAAGAATTACTTACCCAAAACACCCGGGTGAAAATCTCTTCCAAATTCGCCAATCCCGAGCTCCAAAATCAATTTCTAAGGTTTTGAAACTTAACCCTCGATTTTGCCCCTTTTTTTGACCGGTGAAATCGCATCTGCGGCTCTGGGACCGCACCTGCGGTCCCGCTTCTGCGTAGACCAAGTCGCACCTGCGACTTTTTCATTAAAGCCCAGCTTCCGCACCTGCGATCACTTTTACGCAGATGTGGTGCCGCTTCTGCGATGAAGCGTCCGCTTCTGCAGTCCCCGCTAGCTCTCCCCTTTTCCGTTTCTGCGATGCAAATGCCGCTTCTGTAGCTCCGCACCTGCAGTCCCCAACCGCAGGTGCGGTTATGACAGAAGATCAGCAACTGAAGCTGCTCCAAACAGCTTCCAATTCTTCCGACAACCTTCCGAAATCATCCCGAGGCCCCCGGGACCTCAACCAAAAATACGACCTATACCACTATTCAAACTTGTACTAACCTTCGGAACACGAATAATCAAAACACCCTCGGATTCAAGCCTAAGGATTCCAAAACTTCAAATTTACTATTTTGATCAAAAAGTCTATCAAACCTCAACGGAATTACCTGAAATTTTGCACACACGTCCCAAATGACATAATGGACCTACTCCAACTTCCGAAATTCCATTCCGATCCCGATATCAAAATCTCACTATCGAACCGGAAACTTCAAAAATTTGACTTTCGGCATTTCAAGCCTAATTAAGCTACGGACCTCCAAAACACAATCCGAATACGCCCCTAAGCCCGAAATCACCCAACGGAGCTAACGGAATCGACAAAATCCCATTCCGAGGCTATCTTCACACTGCTCCGACTACGGTCCAGATTCTAAAGCTTAAGCTCTTATTTAGGGATTAAGTATCCCAAAACACTCAGAAACACAAAACGAATCCTCCCGGCAACTCACAATAGCAGAAACAAACACGGGGAATGCAGTTAATAGGGGATAGGGGTGTTAATTCTTAATACGACCGGCCAGGTCGTTACATTTTGCTTTCTTTAAGTGCTTAACTGGATTCCATCTCCGTGGTCTTTTTACCATCATTTTCCTTGTTGATTGTTCTACTGATTCTTTTCTTGGGCTCCTTCTGTGGTGCCTACGACGAGTCACCAACGTCCAACCTTCAGCATCATCAAGTTGATTGACTTCAGCTTTGTTGTTCTCCAGTAATTCTTCATTTTTACTTTCTTTAAAACCACATAATTCATCCGGACTGAATGAGCCAAAGGTGATAGAGACTTGGTTTGCGCTTGCTTTATCATCTTCAGGCACGATCTTCTTTTTGCGAGCCAAGTCCATAACTTTGTCCTTGAATACAAAGCACTTCTCCAGAGTGTGGCTCACAAGTCAATGGTATTTGCAGTAATTTAGGTCATTTGTTTTCCCAGCTTCATGTGGTCGCTTCATCTCTGGAAGCTCAATGAGATTTAACTCGAGGAGTTCTTCAAAAATAGCTGGCACATCAGAATCCAGAAATGGGTACTCTTTCTCTTGCATTTCTTTTAGAGTCAACTTTCCACTTGGCTTATCTTGAAAAGAAGTGGATTTCAAATTTTACTTCTTGCTTCTTGCTTAACTTCGTCGTGAACTTTACAGGTGATGTGTTGACATTCATAGCTTCTTTTCTTTCAGACTTAGGTACGAACTTGCCGCACTTCCTGACTTCTTGCTTGTCATTCCCTTTGTGAGGTTCATAGATGGGCAGCCTTTGATTTCCAGCAGAAGCCATGCTCAATTCCATGTCATGGGCACGGGTTGCAAGTTATTCAAATGTGCTAGGCTTGATACCTTGCAAGATGTAGCGTAATCCCCAATGCATGCACATCTCTATGCTAGAAGCTTCAGTAAGCCTGTCTTTACAGTTGAGGCCTGCATTCCTCCAACGATTGATAAAGTCCATGCTCACAGTGCGCTTTGTGCTATAAAAGCGATTGAGGAACTCTTGCTCTAGTTGATCCCAACTATCAATAGATCCCTCCTCGGGGTCTGTATACCAATCCAAAGCATTTCCTTTTAGCGAGCGGACAAACTGTTTGACGAGATAATCTCCATAAGTCCCAGCATTGTTGCACGTCTCAACGAGTGCGCCACATGTTGCTTTGGATTACCTTTACCATCAAACTGTTAAAACTTTGGAGGCTGATAACCAGCAGGCATCTTCAACATATCGACCCTTGCAGTGTACGGCTTTGCATATGTGAGGGAGGACTTGACAACAACTTCATACTTGTTCTTAATGGTTCCTTCAATGAACTCTTCAGTTGATCAATTGGAATCATCCCTTCAGATGAGACATGGATAGCCTTAGCGGATGCTACTTGTCTTGGGTGAGAATCACTCTCTGGAACTTCTGGGAGCTTGCCAGGTGCGTGGGTGGATTCTTCTTTCATCAAGATTCCCACTCTATCTGTTAGCTTGTCGATTTTAGCATCTTGATTTTGCATGCACTTGGTCAAGCCAGCGATTGCTTCCGTCAAGTTTTCCAACCGCTCCTCCACAGATAAAGTGTTTGTCACCATGGCTTGCATGATTGTCGTGGATGATGGAGAGTAGCATGGATTTTAACAAATCCTTGATTGGCTCACGCTATATGGTGTAAGTGGGGAGGATCCATCACTTGAAGCATCATCATCTTCCTTCACAGCAAAGTGCTTGGATCCGGAGAGGTCAAGCAGCGCAAGAGTTTTCTTGGTCTTTTCAGCAACATCGCTTCCTCCTTCGGGTGCGTTTGTGGAAGATCTTTATCCTTTTGAGGATGAAGATCCGAAAACGGGGGTAGATGCGGACGGCACTTGGGGTGCTTGTTGTCCTAACGAGCTTGTTTTGCTCCTCGTAACTGGTCCAAAGCTTCCAAAGGTAACATCGAGAATGCTTTCCACATCAGCATTGAACCTGGAATTAGCAGCCTTGGTGGAAGTTGAACTGGAGTTGATTTTCTTTGAAGCCATTTCGATGTTCTTGAACTTTGGTAATTGAAAAGTTGAGATGAGAGGTAGAGATTGTCCCACTGGGCGTGCCAGAATTTGTAGACAATAAATTGCGTCGAGAAAATAAAATCAAGACCGAAAAATATTGCAACAATCGTAGTATTTTATTTCAAATATTTGAGTCATGTACAATATCTATGAATCCTCTGATTCTTCTTCTCAATAGTAAATAAATTCAAAGCCTTTGAGCTTGATCTTGAATATGTAGTTGTCGCTACGAACGATGTTCTTGTTCTTGAGCTTTAGCTTGATTGCTTGAACTTGACCTTGATTTGTTCTTCGTTCTTGAGCTTGAACTTGATTTGTTCTTCGTTCTTGAGCTTGAACTTGATTGCTTGGAGCTTGAAACTTGTGGAGGAATTTGCAGTGTTTGATCCACGAGCTCTTTCTTGCTGTTATAACTTCTGGTGTCTTTTCTGGGTTATGAAGACCCATATTTATAGTTATGGAAGAGAAGAGTTATGATAAGAACAAACTCTTTCTGACCAATCAAATTGAAGTGTGACAAGGCCGTATTTGATTGGCCAGAATATGTCACTTGCACACGTGGCACGGTTTCATTGGTCTTTTAATTTGACTTGACATGCCTGTCATTTTGACATGTGGCATGATCCTATTGGCTCTTTCGTTTGACTTGGTGTGCCACGTCATTTGACACGTGGCACCAAAGTGGGCCTCCAGGAAGATAATATATTGGGCCTAATGAAGTGGCATCATTTGTACTCCAATTAAATTGGCTAGCCCAATGGATTCAGACTTATTTAGTTAATCCATATATGTTGGACTTATATAATTAATTCAATTATATTAGCCCGGTAAATTTATTTGATCTAATATATCTCGAATTTAAAATATAGTCCAAATTATTTATGAATTTAATTTCAAAACAAAATTTATATGCCTACGCTCCGAATTGTAAATTTCTAGGAACCTCCCTTTTTGAAAGTACTATGTAAGCAAAGTTAGGAACACAGACAAGGTGATTTTGTTATCAATTACTCCTAAAATATACCACCGCACACTATCTTATTATTAATCGTTTGAAAATGATTTGCTAATATAATTCAAGATTAAAGTTTAGCTCAAAGATTAATCTACGTGATTTATTTCAATATTTTCATTTACTATTCCTTTAATTAAGGTACCTAAAACGGATGTTATATTTGGTATTTCGCGCATAATAGTATTCTTTAAATCCATCAACTTGGAGAAGTCTCTGTAATCTTCAAACTGAATTAAGATCCAAATAAGAAAAGCCTCCGTTCTGATTATGGATTCAGCCGAAACACCAGATTCCGGCCACCGCCCGCCACCGCCACCTGGCCGGGCTCTTCCCTTCACCACAAAACTCAAACCCCTTTATCTATTGTCAATCTTGGTACTCCTTTTAGCAATTTCATTCAGTATTATCAAAACAGATTACCGCAAAAAACTCATCCTCAAATTAATCCTATCACCACATACCAATTTCCTTAAAAAGCTCCTAACTTTACTTCACCCAACAACCTTAAACACCTCAAAAAACCCAATTCACACAACCCCATATTGTGTCCTATGGATGGCACCATTTCTTTCAGGTGGTGGGTACAGTTCAGAAGCTTGGTCTTACATTTTAGCTTTAAATGAACACTCCTTGAAAAAAGATTCAATCTTTAAGTTGAAAATTGAACAACATGGGGATCTTGAAAATCTTGAGTTTTGGGAGGGTTTACCTTTAGAAATGAGGAATTTAGCTATTGAGCTTCACCAAACAGAATGTAGGTTAAATGAAACTGTTGTGATTTGTCATAGTGAACCTGGTGCTTGGTACCCTCCACTATTTGATACAATTCCATGCCCACCAATAGGTTATAATGGTCATTTTAAGTCTGTAATTGGTAGGACTATGTTTGAGACTGATAGGGTTAATGCTGAACATGTTAAAAGGTGCAATCTTTTGGATTTTGTTTGGGTTCCTACTGATTTTCATGTGAAAACATTTACTCAAAGTGGGGTTGATCCATTGAAGATTGTTAAGATTGTTCAGCCTGTTGATCTTGAGTTTTTTGATCCATTAAAGTATGAGCCACTAGAACTCGGGTCAATAGGGAATTTAGTGATGGGGTCAAATTCAAATGGATTAAATGTGGGGAAAAAATTTGTTTTCTTGAGTATTTTCAAGTGGGAATATAGAAAAGGATGGGATGTTTTGTTGAGCTCTTACTTGAGGGAGTTTTCTGGAGGTGACGATGTAGCTTTGTATCTGTTAACGAATCCGTATCATTCTGATAGAGATTTTGGTAACAAGATTGTTGAATATGTGGAGGATTCGGATTTGGAAGAACCGAGAGATGGTTGGGCTCGAGTATATGTGATCGATGAACACATAGCTCAGGTTGATATGCCTAGGCTATATAAGGCTGCTAATGCATTTGTTTTGCCGTCTAGAGGTGAAGGTTGGGGTAGACCTATTGTGGAGGCAATGGCAATGGAATTGCCGGTGATTGCTACAAATTGGTCAGGGCCAACTGAATTCATGACAGAAGAGAATAGTTATCCGTTACCTGTGGATAGAATGAGTGAAGTTACTGAAGGACCATTTAAAGGGCACTTATGGGCTGAACCTTGTGTTGATAAGCTGCAAATGCTAATGAGGCATGTAATTAGAAATCATGAGGAAGTTAAGGCCAAAGGTAGACAGGCAAGAGATGATATGATGAGTAGGTTTTCTCCTGAGGTTGTTGCAGGCATTGTTAGTGACCATATTGAACGCATTATTGATCGTACACAATGATCGTTATATTCGCTTTTGGATCGACAAGAGGAGATTATACATTTTACTGCAATAATAACGGCATTTCTAATCACCGTTAATTCAAGGATTTATGGTTCTGGTGGATTTAGTGTATGTATTCTATGTGTGAATTGAAGAACAATTCTCCTTAATGGATGGAGATGTGACAAAGATCTGGAAGCTGATGAACCCGATTTTTGGAGTGAAAAGAGGTTCTGAAAGGGGAAAATGCATCGGAAGGTATACTGAAAATCAATTAACTGGATGGCCTTATGGACACTCTTAGATGATCTTAAATGGAGTTGCTGTTAGATAAGTATATATTGCTTCTTTGAAACCAGAATTGTGTTGGTAATCCAGTTATGTTCTTTCTGATGAATATCAACAACAAATGTCTATTTTAAAGCTTAGAGCTATATTGACATTGTTATGCTGTGGGTTGTTGGTTTGAAGTAGTACGAGAGGAAAGACATGTTACCGACTAATTTCTGTAAGTTGTCGAAATGGAAGGAGATAACAAAAGCTACAGTGTTAAGGGGGAACTTAATCACATTCAACACTGATGGACTGGGAGTATCAACAACGGAAAGAGGTAAGCAAAGAAACCTCAACATTGTACAAATTATAGCTTAACTTTGGTTCAAAGCCAGTCCCAACTGAAAGAGCAGTTCAGCTAAATGAGACTAAAGCTTGATGCTTCTTCCAGTTTGCTTCATATGCTACATCATCAACTTGTTCATTTAGTTTATGTGTCTTTATAAGGAGTTTACTGATAATAAGAAAGTCTTTACAATGAGTTTGAGTAGATAATGAGCAGCCAATCTCGAGCTAGTTTGAGCTGGCGATACAAAATTACTTCTTATTTTCAAGCCATGCATTGCTCTGATTCAATGAGCTGCTGTTCCTTTTGCTTCAGAGTTACTTCTAGCATGCCAATGTTTTTGCATTTGTATTGATTATCATTATCCAATCTCTAAGTAGAAGGAAATATTAGAACACTAACAGAAGTAAAGCAAATCAGAATTATGGGACTTAATGATTGCAAAAGTTGTGTGTCAAATCAATAAGTTAAGAGATAAAAATCTGTAAAAGTATTGACCAAGATTCACTTTGTAGTAGGAATTTCCTCACAAGATGTCAGAAATCTCCATCTGGTTTTGAACTCTTTAAAATGTCTATATAATGTTGATCCTAGTTGTACTATGATTCTTGGAACAGTGTAGTCAAAAAGAGTACTACTTCAGGGACATCATTTTTTATCTTTGTGTTTTAGGAACTGTATATAGCTATTTCTTTTAAAGTCTACCAAATTATGATGATTTTATATTGGGGATCTTGCATTCTGTACTTATTTCCACCTAAGTTGCTCGGACTCGGGTGCTGGCATCCGATAAGGGCGTAGATCTAGAAGTCGGATCCTTCATGATCTAAATTTTAAGAGTCAGAAGGTATGAATCCAAGTACATATATGAGTGCGAGGATTAAAAGTAATTCAAATATCTAAAGATAGAGTTATAAATTATGTCTAAATTATGAGAAGTTTTGTGAAAAACTTTCAAGGTATTCCTAGAAGGAGAAAATACTGATCGAGAATACCCGAAGGTATTTCATTTTCTTCAATTTCACTTAGCTTTTATTTTGATTTCAAACAACCATTGTATTTGTCCCGAATTTCTCCGTCGATTTTGGTCAAAGTACCCAATATTGTTGACCAGATCTGGTACTTATTCCACACTCACACCCACGTCCTATTGACACGAGTGCGGCACTAAAAATGAAGAGTACGAGCAATTTAGATTTCCACAGCATTTTTCCAAAGAGGAGATTTAGTGGGCGTTTGGACATAAGAATAAAATTCCAAGAAGAAAGTGAAAAAAAAATTCAAGTAAAATGGTCTTTGAATAGAGTTGTGTTTGGACATGAATATTATTTTAGGTTGTTTTTGAAGTTTTGTGAGTGATTGAGTGAAATTTTGAAAAGCAACTTTTTGGAGTTTTTCAAATTTTTGAAAAATTCCAAAATTCATTTTCAAGTGAAAATTGGAAATTTTATGGCCTAACACTGATTTCGAAAAAAATAAAAAAAAATTCGAAAAAGTGAAATTTCTCAACGGGCTCTTAGTTTGTGTCACACAGCACAATAATTAGAATACTAAGCTATAAATTAGAGAAGACATATATTTTCAACAAAGGAACATTCATTTATGACAAACTTAAAGGAACATAGTTTGTGATGACTCTCATACAAGGGGACACTCCCCCACCCCAAGAAAAAGAAAAAAGAAAAAAGAAAAAAGAAAAAAGAAATAAATGCACCAAATAAAATTCCAAAGCCAATTCCTAGAACTCATTTGTTGTATCCACAAAAAGCTTTTCAACAGCTGCCCAGATTGGAGGATTTCACCACTTCAGCTTTGCTGGGAAATACTGCAATCAAAATGTTTTTTCAAGTAATCAATAAAGAAGATTATATGGAACGACATGATCAATAAGAATTTCGAAAAATTTACCTTCTCAATGAGGGAAATGTAGTAAGGCTTCACTTTCTCCACATCAATCAAAACTCTGCTCTTGCTATACAGATCATATTTGCTGTCAAATACAATCATAAATCATTCAGTCAAACATCATTCTCAACAGTTAATAAATCAAGAAAATAAAAATCTGAAGCAAGTAGAAACTACAAATTATATCAATTGGAAAAACAATAACTTACTTGAAAATATGCAGCCATTTCAGATTTTCATGATCCTCCTCATTCATCAAGTGTTTATATGCCCCTGCTCTGTGCAGAGCTACATAACAAAGATTCATGATTAGTAATAAAGACACGACGACAACAACAACAGACCTAGTGTAATTCACAAGTCAGGTCTGGGGAGAGTAGTGTGTACACAGACCTATCCCTACCTTGAAGGTAGAGAAGTTGTTTTCAATCTGGGGAGGGTAGTGTATCCGCAGACCTTACCCCTACCTTGTGAAGGTTGAGAGGCTGTTTTCGATCTGGGGAGGATAGTGTGTCTGCAGACCTTACCCCTACCTTGTGAAGGTAGAGAGGCTGTTTTCGATCTAGGGAGGGTAGTGTGTCTGCAGACCTTACCCCTACCTTGTGAAGGTTGAGAGGTTGTTACATAAAATATTTTTCAAGAACAAATAGATAAAAAAGTTATTTATAAATACTTACGATAGAAGGAATGGTATCGGATGATGAACAATGCAGCTGATGGGAGAGTAGTTTTGTTTTCCTTGGCAACCTACATAGTTAAACATATGTAAATCAGATATAATTTTCATTAGTTTAATTAAGTCCAATTAATCTTTTCTGGAAAAGAAAAATGCATACCAAATACATGTAGTCATCATGTCCCCAAGACATAACCACATTATCAAGCCCACATCCTTCAGAATAAACTCCATTTTTTGTGTTGTAAGCTGGATTGTTGTAATCAGGATTTCCCTTGAATTGCTGCAGAATTGGAAAATGAGAAGTAAGAAAAATGAAGCTCTAGGAGAATAAATAAATAAATAAATAAATAGAGACTCAGTAAAAATAAAAAGGAAGAAAAAAGACCTCATAAAGCACATTTGATTCATCAAAAGCACAACCAAGGGGGAATGTGTCACCTATCATAATAAATTGGTTAATAAATTAAATACATACTTGAGAAATAAATGTGAAAAATATAGTAATATATTTTAGAGTATGTACAGTAATATTCTTACCAACAACAGCCCACTGAGGAAGCCCTCCAAAGCTAGGAAGCAGAAGAACTTTGCCAAGATCTACAATATTTTGGCAAAATAATGTCAGCATAAAATGCACATTAATTTGCTTAAATTAAATATTAATTTTTTTTTGGAATACAATGCGAAAAGGGCAGCCCGGTGCACTAAACTCCGACTATGTTCCGGGGATGGGCCAGACCACAAGGGTCTATTATACGCAACCTTATCCTGACTCTCCTTCAGAAGGGGAGATCATCTCCACTGATACCACTAGACTATACGCGTATTACATGTGTATATAAATTTTTACTAAGATTAAAATCCTTTTTTAGGATATAGTAAAAGGCACAAACCATGAATAAGGGCAGTCAAATGCAACCAATCTTCATTAGGATAATCTTTCCTAATAGCTTCAGCAGTTTGCAACAAATGCTGAATTTGGGGTTCATCCAAATCAGGATCACTATCATCCACAACTTCATTTAGAAGTTCACAACTTTCCCAAATGCTCATCTCAACTTTATTCAACTTTCCATACTCTTCCCTCATCTTTTTCACCTGTTTTAATTCCATAAAATTAAAAAAAATTATATATGCATGAAACAAAAGTTGTTCAAGAGTTTTTTTTTTTTTTGTATTTTTTGGATGCTTACAAAATCATATGTTTGGTTAATGTGGCTCTGTCGATAGAGCTCCTCCACGATCTTTTTCCGTTCAGTTTCTGCACTGTAATCCCTGCAACGATATTTTTTTAATGTTAGAATAAACATAGATATATATATATATTTTAATAGTTGTATACATAAATTTTAATTTCTTGATTGAGAAAAACTTATTACCTGAATGAGTTGCCAAATGCATTGTTGCCAGGAACAACAAATCCATCGTTTGAAACATTTTTTGGCACATCAAATCCACCATCAAGAAACAAATCCTCAGCATCAGTAGTTACCTTCTTGTTCTCAACTTCTGCTCCTAATTAGAGCAAGATCAAGAACAAAAAAAAAGGAAAAGAGAGAGAGAGAGAGTTAAATTTCTCGGATAATAATTCAACGTTCAGTTTATTGCATCAAAAAGTCATTAAATTAATTCTTTTGTAATGGAAAAAATAATAAAATCATGCTTACATATCACGGAAAATAAAAAATTCTGATAATTTATGAATTCACTTTCGGAAACACAAGTAGTTTACAACATATCAAAGTGAAATTTTCAGACGCAAATCCATATTAATCGCGATGAGAAACCCGAAAAAAGAAAAGACACATCAAGAAGTCCAATACAAGTAATAAAGTAGTAACTGACATTGAGAAGGTCAAATCACAAAGATAATGACTCGATAAAGAATTCAAAAACTTAAATTAATACATATAAAGAGAGAAAAGAAAAGGAAAATATAATACCATGCTCAGTTTGGGCAACGAGGAGAGTCATGTTTGACTTGTGAAAAAGAAAACACAAAGCAAATAAACAAATAGAAATAATAAGCTGTGAATTGACTTTTGCTTGTTTATAAGAACTTTGAGAAAAAAAATTGGTTTTTATAGTGAATAAAGAAAGCCCTTTTCTAGTAATAAAAAAACATTTGGAGTCCTGAACTAAAAACGTACAAAGAAAAGTGAGTCAGCTTTGCGTGGATAAAAAATAAAGATATACATTATTGAGTCATTGCAACGTAAGTTTCTGTTTTTACCATTAAATATTTTCCCAACTGTGTAAAACAAAAAAGAAGAAGTAAATCTTCACCTCCTAAAATTAATGGAAGTGCAATAACTGTGGGAGTCTGCATTAAATTAATTACTTATCCTGATTGTTGCCAAAAATTGGCTAAGGTTTAATGTATTGTTCTATTTTGTTTGAAAACATGGGTAAGTTAATTCTATCTAGATTACATTCCAAAGTTAATGCTGATTCTATCTTATCTAAAAAAAATTGTTTCTAAATTATTTATCTAATCCATGCATATTAACTGACACTCGTATAAATATTCGTGTGATGCACGGATTTTATTAAAAAAATATTAATCATATCAAATTATGATCAAATTTGTTTGAGCACGTTAGATCATATGTTTTAACAAATTATAATTGTCATCTTATCTCAATTCTAGTCCTCAATAATAAAATTTTTAGATAATTAAATTAACAAATCAAGAAACTTAAGAGTCTGTTTGGAAAACCACCTTGTAATTGGAATTGGTGTAATTATTAGGGTAGTAATTACACACCCTAGTAATTACACAGTTGTGTAATTACCACAACATGTTTGTTTGTCATAGTGTAATTACAATGTAATTACAAGTTTAGTGTTTGGTTGCACAAGTGTAATTACACAGTTAGATTAAATTTTAAACTAAGTAATTATAAAGCTTAAAAGTTAATATAATAAATATATGCCTATAAATTGTTATAAGTATAAATATTATTATATTTTGTATTTAAGATGTATATTTTTTCGTGAATATACATTAATTTAGTAATCATATATTGATAACTAATATTATAAAAATAATTTATATTTTTTTTTTGAAATTTATAATATTTAGTTTAGATACTTACAAAAATAAAATATACGTTTTGTAAGAACATCATAGAATTTATGTTTGATAAAATAAATTAATATTTTTTTTGAGAAGGAAAAAAGATAAATTAATATTTACAAATATAATGTCATAACATTATTCAAATGTTTGACAAAACTAATCTATCAATTCTAACTAAAAAAGAACGACATGCAATATGAGCCAATACTACTAAAACAAGTAAATTGAAACCATGAATATAACACAATTTCAAAATTCAAAAAAAATAAAATAGTTTAACATATATCAAATTCCAACATAATAATAGTTATAGTAAGCTTCACTACAACTTAAGATTAGGAAACATGATAAGATTATAACAACATTCAACAACGAAATTTTACTTTAATTGCATCACTCATTATATGCCAAATTTGTTAATGACTCATTATTTCTAATATATGGAGGCGNGGGGTGGAATGTGGGACCCAGAAACAAAATTGGGCGTCATAAAGTTATTGGGTGAAGAAGTGTACGGTGATGGTTAATGACATAAGCCTAGGGGTAGTTTAGTCAAAGGAGTTCAAAATTTTATACATACAGTAAGATTTTTTTTTAAGCAATCATATTCTTCCAGTTTAACTAAAATGACCGGTTTACCCTTTCAATCCCAAGCAAGCATGTTGACGTGCTGCTTGCTTATTCTCCCTTATTAATAGAGAGAATTTGTAGGCTCCCACATGGGATTTTATCACAAGTCTCCATTTGTAGGTTAAAAGAACCACTTCCTTCGTCCAAATATATGTTACATCGAGATTCAAAAGAATTACTTTTTAATCATAAATTTTTATGTGTCGTTTAATTATTTTAAATTTTAATTATTGTTACTTATAGTACTTTTTACTTAATTTTTAAGTATGTAAATTTTATTTTGAAAATTTTAAGATTTTATGTCCATATAGTCGATCAAAATTAAAAATTTTAAATCTTAAAAATCAAAAAGTGTCACATAAATTGTACAGAAAGATGACAATTGATGTGGAGATTCGTTGTGAAGTAGAGTATCATTCTGAACGCCGTCCTCCGGGCACCACATGATTAACCTTTGAATTAATAAAAAGCGAACAATGATAATACATGATTATGGTTTTAGGTGCGGATTAATGGTAAATAATAAATTTGCAAATAGTAACATGGACAGTTTAAGAGTCTGTTTGGAAAGCCACTCTGTAATTGAAATTGGTGTAATTACTAGGGTAGTAATTACACAGTTGTGTAATTACGACGACCTGTTTGTTTGTTATAGTGTAATTATAAGTTTACTGTTTGGTTGCACAACTGTATTACACAGTTAGATTAAATTTTAAATTAAGTAATTATCAAAATATACAAATTATAATAAATATATGCCTATAAATTTTTATACGTATAAATGATATTATATTAGGTATTTAAGATGTGTATATTTTCGCGAATATACATTAATTAGTAATCGTATAATTATAAATAATATTGTAAAAATAATTTATATTTTTTTAAAAATTAATAATATTTAGTTTAGATACTTACAAAAATTAAAAATATACGTTTTGTAAGAATATCATGGAATTCATGATTGATAAAATAAATTACTATTTGTAAATATAGTGTCATAACATTATTCAAATGTTTGAAAAAACTAATCTATCAATTCTAACTAAAAAATGAACAACATGCAATGTGAGCCAATACTACTAAAAAGAGTAAATTGGAACCATGAATATAACACAATTTCAAAAATAAATAAATAAATAAATAAAATAGTTTAACATATGTCAAATTTCAACATAATAATAGTAAGTCTCACTGCAACTTAAGATTAGAAAACATGATAAGTTTATAACCACATTCAACTACGAAATTTCACTTTAGTTGCATCACTTATTATATGTCAAGTTTGTTAATGACTCCTTATTTATAATATTAGGAGGTGTAGTTTAAAAAAAAGAATAATAAAATAAATAAAAAAATAAAATATAAGCAATTACATGGAATCACAAGAAGTAAATATAGAGAAATAAAAAATAAATAATGTACAAAGAAAAATATATTTTAAAATTTCAAAAGAAATTAAAAAGTAAAAATAAAATTAAAAAATTAAAATAATAGAATTAAAAAGTTATAAAAAATAAATTAAAATAAAAACAAAAAGGAAATAAACTAAAAAGCAACCTTGCAATTACACAGTGTAATTACCACCAATTCTCACCTCCCTCTTGAGAATTGGAGAATGTAATTACACCCCTCTAATTACACCCAATTCCATACTGACCAAGTAATTACTTGGTCAAACAAACATGTCAAACTGTGTAATTACACCCAAATCCATTTCCAAGGTGACTTTCCAAACGAGCTCTAAATATTATACTCCCTGCTGTCTAGTTTATGTAGGCGTTTCACTCAATATGGAGTTAAGAAATAAAAGAAAGCTTTTAAAACCTGTGGTCTAACATAAATCATAGATATTTGCGTGTCTGCAAGTTAATTTATTAAGGGTAAAGTAAAAGTCCTAAAGATAAATTATTTTTAAATAAGAAAAAGTAACATCCTTTTTTAGACTGATTAAAAAGAAAAGAGTGTCACATAAATTGGGACGAATGGAGTAGTTATATAGCCTGTGCTATAAACAATCTGAAAATAGAACATGATTCCAACGAATAAGAATACATTATATAAATAAGTCTAAAAATGCTTTATTTACTATCTTTCTATTCATTTGTTATTTGTGCATGATCACCATCAAAATCTTTAATTTCTTCCTGCCTGTAACTTATAACGAAGCTCATAAAGTGTTTCATTTGTATTATTTAGAAATAATCTTATATGAGAAAGTGATTTGTCTTGACTTTTAATTCTAATAAATGTATAATGTGAAAATTATCTTTGCTGGTATTTAGAAGGTATTTTGACTTGGATGAGTCAATATTATTATTGGGATGATCCCTTTTTGTCCAATATATTTTTTGATAAAATCTTAGCTGCAGTAACTCGACTTACAAGTCTTATAATGATATATGTTTATAACAAAAACCATAAACTATTTAGTAGACTGTAGACAATAAATTTCCATCGAGAAAATAAAATCAAGAAAAAAAATATTGCAACAATCGTAGTATTTGATTTCAAATAATATGAGTGTACAATCTCTATGAATCCTTTGATTCTTCTTTTCAATAGTAAATAAATTCAAGGACCTTTGAGCTTGATTTTGAATATCGACCGATGGATTCCCCGGTTTTTGGATTTTCATTTCGTTATGTAAAAAGAGTTGGTATGTAGTTGTTGCTACGAACGATGATCTTGAATTCAACTAGCACGAACTTTGATTTGAATTTGTACTCCTTGAATCTTGATTTCTTCTTCATTCTTGAGCTTGAGCTTGATTTGTTCTTCGTTCTTGAGCTTGAACTTGATTTGTTCTTCGTTCTTGAGCTTGAACTTGATTGCTTGAAGCTTGAAACTTGTGGAGGAGCGTTTGATCCACGAGCTCTTTCTTGCTTCTTGTTATAACTTCTGGTGTATTTTCTGGATTATGAAGACCCCTATTTATAGTTGTGAGAGGGAAGAGTTATGATAAGAACAAACTCCTTCCGACCAATCAAATTGAAGTGTGACAAGGCCGCGTTTGATTGGCCAGAACATGTCACTTGCACACGTGGCGTGGTTTCATTGGCCTTTTAATGTGACTTGGCATGCCTTGTCATTTTGACACATGGCATGATCCCATCGGCTATTCCGTTTGACTTGGTGTGCCACGTCATTTGACACGTGGCATTAGGCATCTAGGAAGATGACATGTTAGCCTAACGAAGTGGGCTCATTATTCGTAGCCCAATTAAATGTGATAGCCAATAATATTAGACCTTTATTTCAATCAATTTAATTAGATTTAAATAACTAAGTCAATATATATTAGCACATAATATTTATTTTGGC